GCGCGCATGTGTGATTAGCAACCACATGGCAATGTATTCAGTATTGTTATTTGACAAATAAGGATGAGGAATTTTGATTTGGAAATGAGGATAATAAATTTCTCATGTGCCTTTAAAAATATATCTTTTAAATGAACTCTTACTGAGAGAATAACTACTAAAAATTAAATTGTAGTTTTTTATTATAATATTTTGCTTTGATTTTATATTAAAAACTGCCAACCAGATAACATCTAAATGTATCTTTTTCAATATGACAAAGTTACATAAGAAGACTCCCCTTGCACGTAAAGAAAAATGCAATTATTTTCTATTCTGAATCTCCAGACTGCTGTTTTAGAAAATCATATCTGATTATTTGCTCAGCAGAAGATTATTGAGTTGATTTAGCTGTGATTTTACTTAACAAAGCTTCAACTGCATTCCTACTGTGGAGTCCGAAAAAGGTAGAGAGATATAAATGATATATTCAAACTGTGATTTTTGTGAACAGGGCCATCGATGCACCCCTCGGAGCTAATAGCGGAGATGAGAAACAGTGGGTTTGCACTGAAACGAAATGTACTGGGGAGAAACTTGACCGCAAATGATCCATCACAGGTAATGATCTTTTTATCAGTAAGCTGAAAATGTCTATAAATCTAAATGTGATTGCTTGTGAATTGCTACTTAATGTTTTCCAATATGCATATATCCATAGGAAAGTAAGATAGAGCAAAGCAAATACCCAAAATGTATTTTGATTTGGCTTTATTATTTCAACCTAAATGAGAAATTGTTTACAAACCTGTATTTTAATAAATGAAACTGCTCCTCTGAGTTTATGTGGATAAAATATCTAACTGAACTGGTGATGAGGCTGTTGGTTTTTCCTTCCTGCTAAATTATCCCTGATATGACATTAAATAGAACCAGTGGTTAGAAGTAGGTAAAAACCCCTAAAAATCGTAGAAAATATTTTAAACTTATTTATTTTATTAAACTATACATAGGTCCAGAAAATGATTGAGTTTGAAGGGTTATATTATTATATATTTGATAATGTGCTGTTGAAATTATAAAGGCTAAAATTGTGGCTATTTTGACCTGCCTTTAAAACTCATAATCTTATTTTTTATATTTCATTAAATTAAAAATAAAGTATTTAAACTGGCAAGTGTTAACATTCAAGAGATAGAGAATGGAAGTCATGCTCTAAACATTTTCTCTGTGTGTGTCTATCATCCTTTTCCTGGAAGAGTTTCCTGATGCTGGCAAAGCAGTCATGTTAACCTCTTAGTGCTGTATGATCCACTTCGGCAGGGAGACTACAAAAAAAAATGTTTAATTCCCTCCCATTTCCCAATCCAAAATACCATACTCATCTACAGTGTGTCCCTGATACAAAACTTATTTATAAATGTTTTCTTTTTTATCTTATAACTACATTGTCTTGAAATCTAGCAATTTAATGATGTCTTTGTTGACTCAGGAGTATGTTGCAAGTGAGGGTGAAGAAGATCCAGAAGTTGAATTTTTAAAGTCACTAACAACCAAACAAAAACAGAAACTTCTCAGGTAATTTAAAAGTGTATATTTAATATATTTATTTTTTCCTTAGTATTCATCTCAGTATCGTATACAACTCTGATCCTAGGAGCTCATGAAGGTACTTAAACCGTGTATCACATTTATTGATTATTCTTCACCCATAGCTAATACAATTTTGTCTGTCTTTTCAGTAACATGGAAATTGTATACTCAGATGTAAGATTATATACTCAGATTATACCACAAAACTATTGCACTTTTCAGAACGTTTTAGAATTATACTTATTTATAACTTTTACTTTTCAAAATAGATTTGTATGTATCTTCGCACGCAATTTGTTCTTAGGAAACATTTTTGGCCTTTTTTTTTTAATGTTTTGTAAAATCTTATGAGAATGCAGAAAGAATGCTTAAATTTAAGGTAAACGTGAATTTTGTTAAACAGACTACCTCCGAATTAAAGAATCCAAGAAATGTCTGCTGAGTCCAATAGAGGGAGCTCATGATGCTTTCAGTATGTAGAGTTTTGAGAATGGCTAGACAGAACCTAGAGACTTATTTTCAGAGTAACTCAAACATACCATATAAATAAGTTATGCCTCCGAGAATGTGAAGTACTCTTTAGAAATTCAGAACGTTTTAATAGGATTGTCCTAATTATTTATAAAACTAAACAATTGCCGGGCGCGGTGGCTCAAGCCTGTAATCCCAGCACTTTAGGAAGCCGAGACGAGCAGATCACGAGGTCAGGAGATCGAGACCATCCTGGCTAACACGGTGAAACCCCGTCTCTACTAAAAAATACAAAAAACTAGCCGAGCGAGGTGGTGGGCGCCTGTAGTCCCAGCTACTCGGGAGGCTGAGGCAGGAGAATGGCGTAAACCCGGGAGGCGGAGCTTGCAGTGAGCTGAGATCTGGCCACTGCACTCCAGCCTGGGCGACAGAGCGAGACTCCGTCTCAAAAAAATAAATAAATAAAAATAAACAATTGTTGAAAACAAGTATTAACTATATTATTTTATAAAAGTAATATTTCAAAAGTTTAATGTGTACTTTTAGAATTTCTGGAGAATATTCTCGAATTTTGATAATGTAATGTTGATTAATATTTACATACTATAAAATAGTACATAAAATTAATTTTTCATCTGATTATAGCTGTGTATTTGCTTTTATAGTAGTTCCAACTGATGTTACACACCTTTCACAGACTTTCTTTAGGATGACCATTTAGAGTTCTATATAATTTCATATCAGTAAGAATTTAACACAAAAGTAGTCATTACTATTGAAGTATAGTCAGAAAATTGGCTTGATGCATTTTTTTTAATTTAATGTATACATGCTTTGAATAATTTTAAAGGAAGAAAATGAGTTGTCATTTAGTAAACAATGCGTTCATATATGGATACGAGTTTTTTGTTTTGTTTTGTTTTTAAGACAGAGTCTCACTCTGTTGCCCATGCTAGAGTGCAGTGGCATGATTTTGACTCACTGCAACCTCTGCCTCCCAGGTTTAAGCAATTCTCCTGCCTCAGCCTCCTGAGTAGCTGGGATTACAGGCATGTGCCACCATGCCCAGATAATTTTTGTATTTTTACTAGAGATGGGGTTTCACCATGTTAGTCTGGTCTCGAACTCCTGACCTTGTGATCCGCTCGCCTTGGCCTCCCAAAGTGCTGGAATTACAGGCGTGAGCCGCTGCATCCTGCCATGGATACGATTTTTAATAACTTCTAAGAAAATATATTGTTTTTTCATAACTTACAGTTGATGAAATAGCTATTTTTCACACAGTCTGTTACTGTTTGTTTCCCAATTACAGGAAATTAGATCGACTGGAGAAGAGAAAAAAGAAAAAAGATAGAAAAAAGAAAAAGTTTCAGAAGAGCAGAAGTAAGCACAAAAAACATAAGTCCTCTTCTTCCTCCTCTTCCTCCTCCTCCTCCTCCTCTTCCTCTACTGAGACTTCAGAAAGCAGTAGTGAGAGTGAGAGTGACAATAAAGAAAAAAAAATAGAAAGGAAGAAAAGAAAGAAGAGCAAGTGTTCAGGGCATAACAACAGTGATTCTGAAGAGAAGGACAAGTCTAAGAAGAGAAAACTTCATGAAGAACTTTCTAGCAGTCACCATAACCGGGAAAAAGCCAAGGAAAAGCCCAGATTCTTAAAACTCGAGAGTTCTAGGGAGAACAGCAAATGGAGCCATTCCGATTCTGACAAAAAGTCCAGAAGCCGTCATCATAGCCCAGAGAAGAGAGGCTCTGAAAGAAAGGAGGGGAGCAGCAGAAGCCATGGCAGGGAGGAAAGGAGCAGGAGAAGCCGGAGCAGAAGTCCTGGTAGTTACAAGCAAAGGGAGATAAGAAAACGGCCACAGCGAAGTCCCAGTGCAGAGCAAAGCAGAAGAAATGACACCAGAAGCCATGGCACAGATGTATACAGAGGAGAAAAAATGTACAGGAGATATGCATACTAAAGTGACACAGAATGAGGCAGAAGTAGAGAAGAAAGACTGTATGTGACAATTACCTGGGAATAAAAATATCTCCACTTTTTTATTGAATACTTATAGCAAGGGCTAAATTATGTACTATTGTCTTTCTAATAAAGCTCAATTTTAATTTTTCATCTCTGTAAACTGTCAAGTACAAAACTACATGAGTACTATAAGAATGAATTTTGCAAATATTTGTAAGTAAGCTATTTTGGGGCTGTAGAAATATTTTCTGTTGGTAACTGTTTCTTGTGCCCCATACCAGATAAAAACCGCATATAGAACTCTGTGACATTTTCTTTGTTCTGAAACATTGTTAAAAGAATGACAGTACATTGAATGGGTATAATTTAATTTTTTCAATTCAAATTTGTTATTCAAGGATTTGAATTTGCTTGAAGTGAATTGTAATCATTATCCAAATTCACTAATATAAATTAAACAATGGATTAATAAATCTTTAAGACTTTTAAGCCCCCTTAACATTTTGTTCTATAGAATAAGCTGTTTACATTTGGATAATACTAGTTTTTTGTGCAGGTATACAAGTTACCTCAAACTTAAAACAGTCCAGCTGGGCCAGGCACGGTGGCTTACGCCTGTAATCCCAGCACTTTGGGAGGCCCAGGCGGGCAGATCACCTGAGGTCAGGAGTTCGAGACCAGCCTGGCCAACATGGTGAAACTGCGTGTCTACTAAAAATACCAAAAATTAGCCGGGCATGGTGGCACTCGCTGTAGTCCCAGCTATTCGGGAGTTTGAGGCAGGATATTCGCTTGTACCCGGGAGGTGGATGTTGCAGTGAGCCGAGATTATGCCACTGCACTCCAGCATGGGCGACAGAGTGAGACTCCATCTTAAGAAAAAAAAAAATTAGGCATGGCGGCATGCACCTGTAATCCCAGCTACTCAAGAGGCTGAGGTGGGAGAACCGCTTGAACCCAAGAGGAGGAGGTTGCAGTGAGCCAAGATCGCGTCACTGCACTCCAGCCTGGGTGATGGAGCAAGACTCCCATCTCAAAAACAAAACAAAAAACAAAAAACAATCCAACTGTATTAGCTTAACAGTTCTAGAGGTCATAAGTTTGACATGGGTCTCACTGGGCTAAAGTCAAGGTGTCAGTAGAATTGTGTTTCTTCTAGAGGCTCAAGGGGAAAATATGTTTGCTTGCCTGTTCCAGCTTCTAGATGCTGCCTGCATTTCTTGGCTCCTGGCCCCCTTCCTCCATTTTCAAAGCTAACAAAGAGGAGTCAAGTCCTTCTCAAATCTAATCATTCTGACACTTTGACATTCTGCATCCCTCTTCCAATTTTAAGTACCTTGTGATTACATCGGGCCCACCTGAAGAATCATGCAATAATCTCCCAATTGTAAGATCGATGTTAATTCTATCTGCAACTTTAATTCCCCTTTTCTTCGTAATGTAACATATTCACAGGTTCCAGGGGTTAGGATATGTACATCTATGAGGGACTATTATTCTGCCTTCCACAAATGGCCCTTCTATTACTGTCTTACAACTATTAAAGATTTTACTTCATACCTGGTTGATCCTGCCAGTGGTCGGCGGCGGGGGGCAAGGGGTAGATTTTCAAATGAAACAAACTACTTTGATATTTCACCAGTATAGGTATATAAGGCATATTTAAATTTAGCTGCAAATTTTCCCTTGTGTTTCAAAGGATATGGTAAGGGAAAACTATAGAAAGAACTGGTACAAATCACAAGTAACACAGTTCCAAAAAACTTCACATCTTGGACACAAGTATTTTTGTTATCAGTGTTCTATATTTTTTAACCATCTGCTAATTAATACCAAACAAATATTGATTAGATGGTTTCGATAGTTGGCAGTCACAATTTCATAAATTCTGCAAGAGAGTAACATTTTAAAGAAGTAAAACCACATCATCTGATATATATGTCTTTGCCTTGTCTGTGCACACACAGAAACAAATGTCCTCTAAGAAAAACTAAGTGAAGAGGTAAACAACCCTTGATTATTTAGATTTTTAAGACGAAGGGGGGAGGAACTTGAATTCCTTCCACAGTATTGTTTAATAACTTATAGCGCACCTCAAAGATCCCTTCACTAAAAAAAAAAAAAAAAAAAAAACCAAAAAAAACCATGCATTTGAAGTTGATAAAGACTGCTAATTTACACCTTGAGTTCATCAGTGTTGCAGTGATTATTTTCTATCTTCTGCCTTTTTAGACTTTATAATTTTTATAATGTCAAAACCTATGCAATACTACCTTAAAGGGTTTCTGAAGCAATATAGTGTTCATGAAGAGAAATGCTGAAATGCCTCCTGTAATTAAAAATGAATTAAATATGTTATTTCTTACACTTTCTCATTTGACTCACACACCGTGGTCCACTTTTTTAATGCAGATGAGGTTGCTCAGGCTGGTCTTGAACTCCAGAGCTCAAGCAATCTGCCTGCCTCAGCCTCCCAAAGTGCTGGGATTATAGGCGTGAACCACCATGCCTAGCCAATGTGGTCCACTTTTAACTTTATAAAGTGACTGAGATTTTTTTAGTTTCTGATTTAATTATCCTTATTGTTAGGATTGAGAAACTAGAAAGTACTGCCAAAAGCTCCAATATTTTTACCCATCTAATTCTGAGAAAAAATTTCCATGTAGTTATGGAAGATGTTGATTTTCTGTCTGGCTTTCAGCCTTGGTCACCCAAGGGTGCTCCACAGCCCTAATGAACTACCATTCTAACTTTGTAAACTTAAAAACGGAAGAGAGGCATTTTCACACAAAATCATACCATGATAACAAACAGCTTTCAAGAGGCTTAGCTAATGTGTTCCACATACCCTAATGATGGGGAAAATAATTGGAAGTTACTTTTAAAATAAAAATATTGGACATGTAATTCTACTTTTGCTTTTTGAAATATAAGGTAGAAACCAAGGAGATGAACCTCATAAGATAAACCTCATAATAAAAGGAATGTCTAGTATGTGTAGAGATTCCTCTCAGTACCTAAAACCCAAGAAGAATCTTCCACGTTTAATGAATCTATGACTTAAGAACCCAAACAAAAGTCCTCAACGGGGATATTTTTTAGAAGACCAGCCTGGTGAAATTTGTCATTCTTACCTTAATAGAGAAGTTCCCTTAAAGAAATCTTGGCAGACTTACACGTTTCTTATTTATCCATGAGCCTGGAACTGCACGCGCATAGGACACATTTTGGAGGCATTTCTCCCTCTGCCTCCGCAGGGACTTTTCTCCTAACCTAACATTTAACATAACACTAGCAAATTAATTCCTGTAGGAGGTGCTGTCGATTTATAAATAACCAAGAAATATCAAGTTGCTAGGTTAGAACTTGTTTATCTGAACGTCTCCGTGGTAAATTAGTCATAATTTATTTTAATAAAGGCCAAAATGGGCAGAGGTTTCTGCAGCATAGTGGCAGGTCTGCTTACCTTGCATTATGAAGCGGAGATCTTGTTTTGAACCATAGGGCTGTAATCTTAAGAAAGCTTTTCATCCGAAAGGCTTGGAGAGACCTTTCTTGCTGTTCTTCCATGAGACTGCTTGCTCATAGTGAATCAAATCATTCCACGCTGCTGGGAGCAGGCGTTTCCCAGTTTTAATCACCGAACATTTGGTATGCTTTGGCATTGAAGCTCAAACAGTTCAAAATCCACCTGAGCCATTTCACTCTTCTCCTTACCTAATGACCACTGGGCCAAGACGCTGGTGGAGGCGGCTGCGGAGGGCCGCAGCTCCACACTCCGGTCCTAAGACCAGGAAGAAAGTAGCACTTTTAGCTTCAGCAGCTGAATGATATTTAAAAATCGTATTTAGGTTTTCTGAAAAAGAAAACCTCTACTATAGTTGTCATTTCTTGAAAAGAGATAAAAGCATGCAATACCTGCAGGCCTTGGGAGCATTCTCTGATCAAAAAGGCAAAAGGCCTTTAAAAAGTTGTGAGGAACAAGTCAGACCGGGGAAACTAAGGTTTGGGAAAGCGGGGGCTGCTGAGAGCTCTCCTACCTGATCGAGGCTCCTAAAATCCGGTTCCTGATGACGGGAAAGGAAGAGGTAACTCCACAGCACCTTCCCCCTTTCTCCTCCCTTCACGCCACACTTAACATCACCCCCAGAATGCCCAGAATGTAACAATAATGACGAAGATGTGCAAGATGAACGCGGAGAGCTGCCTGGAATGAAAAGAAACGCACCCTCCGGCCCAAGCTGCCCCGGAGTCGCCTTTCTCCAGTCCCTCTGGCTTGAAGGGCTTTGCGAGGGGGTGGACAGAAGTGGAGGTCCGAGGGTTCCTGGACTGATAGAGCAGGGCTTCCCAGGAGGACGTCGCCCTAAACCTAAAGGAAGCCAGAATGGGGCGTGGGGTAGGGTGACGGGATGAATCCTGGCTGGGGTCGCCCCTTCCCATCTCGAGGCGACGCCCCTCTGCGTGCTCTGGTGGTTTCCTTCTCTGGATGCGCGTCTGGCAACCTTGCGAAAACACCCCAAACCGAAATGGGGAGGCCGAGAATGAGGGGGCGCACACCCTTCCTAGCAGATGCGCCTCCGGCGCCAGGAGGCCGCCGGACACCCGACCCACAAGGTGCGGGGGGGAATGGTCGGGGCCGGCCCTCTGCGCGGCTCCCTGGCCCCCCGTTGGCCCAAGCCACCCCCTAGAAGCAATTCTCAGGCCTTTCCGCTGGGGGCCCGCCCGCCAAGGGCCCTGCCAGTCCCCGCCGAAGCTTGCAGGGCCTCGGGCGCAGTCCCCCGCGCGGGTCGGACTCGCCTTCAGCAGTTAGGAAAGCGAGCGAATTGTTCTGGTCGCTCGCGCTCCACAGGTGAAGAGGGCGCTTTATGAAGCTCTTGGGGCAAACATGAAGATATCAACTTTCGTCAGCAATCTGCAAGCAGAATGTGGACTGAGGGAGACACCCTGTCACTTTGCATTTCCTTTATAAATAAATGAATCAACCTGAAATCGTTACACGCAGGCAAAACAATGCAAAATCCCCAGTGTGAAATTCTAAAGGAAGAGAGTATAAGGGTCTTGGAAAAACTGGAACTCTTAGGGGCTGTGGTTTTCCGGGTCTTCGACAGCCGGCCCTGGAGGGACGTATCCCCACGGACATTCTGAAACCCTTTCCTTAACTGGAGTTGCAAACACACAGTCTATATTTAAGTCAACAATATATGGGGGAGGCATGTCTGTATATATTTACCTCATACATATTTCTATACACTCCAGCGTCTGGGAAGGGTGGGGGGTAAATAACACTGAACGGTTAAAATTATGGAGAAGGGATAATAACTGATTACTAATTTGAAAGTAAACAAACAGGTGACTTTTTCAGATCCAATTCCTCCTTGTATCGTTACAATAAATATCTCTGAAGGAAGCTCTCTATTTATGTTGTCATTGATTAATTCTTCACTACCTCATTTGATTTCGATTTAGAACGATTTGATTCTAATTTAATTAGCATGTAATTTGGATGTACATAATTACTGTAATTATGACATTCAGGTAAGGCAGCTTTAGGCTGAAAGGCAATTTCAAATTTTCTAGCAACCTACTTTGTACTGGGAAATGGACAAGGACTTTGCGCCCTGCTATCCAAGTAGTAATTAGCACATCTTTGAAATAGGCAGTGCGGCGGGGTTTGTATTAAAACAGCAAATACAAACCTAGCCGAGTTACCCGCCGCAAAGGTGGCTGCGAGTCCCCGGAAACGCGCTGCTGCTCCCCGGCGCGAGTTCAGGGAGCCCGGCACCCAGGCGCCTTGGCCGGGCTTTCGCGGCTGCGGGTGACGGCGCCTCCGCCGCCTCGGGCGCAGGGTTTGAAGGTGTCGCTTTTTAAATTAAAATACAATAAATATGCGCTGGGGAGGTGGGGGGCACAAAAATGGAGGAGGAGGAAGTCACTCCACCTAGTCCGAAGACGGGTTGGGGTCAGGGAGACGGTGGACTGGAAGAGGACGGAAAGGGGCGGCGGGGGTAGGACGATGCACTGAGAGGAGAGAAAATTGGCCAACGCGCCCAACTGTTACCCGATTTCAGATTTGGGTTTCAAAGGGAAAAGAAGAGGACAAAAGGGGTCGTTTTGCTCCGGGAGGATGTGCGCACCCTTCGGGGAGGCCTGGAGCTGGGCATCTGGGGGCTTCTCGCCGCCCTCGGGGGCCCTGCGCGCCCGACCCGGCTCCTGCCTGCCCAGCCGCCCCCCCGCGCCCCACTCGGGCTGGGGTGTCCGCCGGAGGACGAAGGCGAGGCAGAAGGCTGCTCTGGCCCGCCTCGGGTTGGGGCTGCGAAAGCAGCGGGTCCCTGGCCTCCCTGATTGTCCACGGGAGGGTGGTAGGGTGGGATGGTTTGGTGACCTGTTTGAATCGGCCAGGTTCCAGCCGGCCCCGGATAGTCCACGCGGGCCTTGCGGGCCGGGAGCCGCGGATGCAGAGTCGTAGGGGTCTGCGTCCACAGCTGGATCCCCACATCCTGGGGTCCACGTCGCTGCCGACAACGCTTCAGTGTTCTCAACTTTAAGTTGGAAGACCCTGAAGTTGCCTTGAAAAGGATGTTAAATGCGACAATTCTAAGACCAGGGCCAACCGGTCCTTACTTTGTTTTGTTTGGATTTTCAGTTAGCACGTTCCAGAAACGACCCTTTTGCCCAGAAGCCACTGCCAAGTAGTGCTCCCCACCCCCAATAGCAGGGTTCGTTCCCCGCTGGAACGCAAACCCTCGCGTTTCTTCGCAGGATCCTCTTGGTTGCTGCTGCTCGCGGCAAAAGCCGGTCTCCACACGCTGACAGCCGCAAGCCAGGCAGGCGGCGGCCTTCCCGCCTCGGAGCTCTAGGTGGCGCCAGCGAGCCGCACTCGCCAAGCTCCTCTTATGGGAATCAAGAGCTACTGTCAAACATAAAAGCAAATCAGAGTTTTCAGTTTTTTTAATATGTTAAGAATGTTATTCCTTAAGAAAATTTGTAGCTAAATTATTCTCACTTAAAATAAACACTTAGTATACCAATTACACAAATGGGCGGGATTTATGTGAGATTTACTTCATCTGCATTTTTGTAGTGGAAGAGAGCCTTGGTGAATACAGATAATAGATGCAAATAAGATTAGAGTTAAAATAAATAAAGTTTCCATCCGAATAAAAAGAAATTCAATTTTACACGACTTGTAACCATTTGACGGAAGGTCCAGACACGCCATTCAGGTACACAATCTAATCTCGTCAAAATAATGTTGTTTCCCTCCTCGAGGAAAGAAAATCTCTTTCTTTTCTTTTTCTTTTTCCTTGTCAGGTAGAATCCAATTCATTCCAAGGGGAGAAAACTGGTGTCAGAAAAGGAAACGCCGGAGGATGGTGCGGATCGTGGCTGGGTGGGCGCAGGGCGGAGGAAAATTTGCTTTTCGTTCCTCTGTTGCGCTGGAAGCTATGGGACAGGAAACGCCAGGGAAACTGGGGGACTCGAAATCGCACTGCCCTCACCCGGGCCCGGGCCCGACTCTGCGCCCCCAGGCCGCGGCCCCCACCCGCGCGGACCTCCAGGCCGCTACCCACCTCTGAGTTTGGGCCCTTGGCCACCGCCTCCAGCTCCTTCTGGCCCCTGGGCCGGAGAGGCACAGGCCTCTAGGGCCCCGAGGTGGCCCTGGGGAGGCGCAGACCCACCGCAATTGGGGACCGAACTCGTGTTCTAACTGGGGGGCTCTCGCCTCCCACGCGCGCTGTCTCCAATTTGGTCAACCCCGGCCGGCCGGTCGCCACCCGCTCAAGTCAAGGTTCCCCGTGCCCCCAAGGGCGCCTAGGGCTGGGGGGAGGCCAGGCAGGGGGCCTAGGCCCTCTTTTCGCCTGTTGGCTTCGGCCGGGGCCCCCGGCCCCGGGGCCCCGGGGCCCCGCTCCCTCTGGGCTCAGGTTCCGTGGGCTGCTGTCTCCCGGCTGGACGCTCGGGCCGGGGCAGCCGCCCGCCGCTCCCAGGAGCCTGGGTGATGGACGTCCGCTGACCCGCGGGGCAGAGGCAGCGCTCACAGGCCTTGATCACTGGCCTGCGGAGGGAGCCGCGCGGCCAGCGGGACCTGCACAGCCGGGCCCTTTGATCTGCCTTTATTATCAACGACAAACAAAGCTGCTTGGGCCCGACGCCCGGGCGCCCGCGTTCCTGGGGAGACCCACCACACCCTTTACCCCGCGCCGCCAGCCCGCGGCCCCCAAACACGCCAGGCACCCTCTGGGCCTCCAGTGCTGCGGCCCGAAGCCCCTCCAGGAAACGTGCCCCTACCAGCCGGCTCTCCAGAAGACCATCCCCCGACCAGAGGCGCTTAGGGAGTGGGGGGCTCCCGGTTATGAACAGCTTGATCGGGGAGAGAAAAAGGCCAAAGTGAAGAAAAACTCCAGGAAGAAGAGCGGGGCAGCCTGGCTGCGGGGAGCTTAAGAAGGAGAAGGAAGAAGCCATTGAATGTCACGCTGCAAACTCCCTGCTGGGGAACTTCGTTTTGTTTTATCGCTACTTTGCGACTTGGTGTTTCAGAACAGTTTCCGAGAAAACATTTTGATGATTGTTAATAACAAGAATTTATTTTTTCTTTCCTAAAAATCAAAACCTTGGCTCAAATTCTCAAGGTGGACAGTAATCAAAAATGGAAAAAAAAATATGTTGGTGCTGACTTCGCTTGTATTTCCTCTTGTGTGGCAAGTCTTTTAGAAATATTTTTATTCTGTAAATATGTACTTTATTTTCTAAATTAAAATTTTTTCGAATTGCGAAATTATCTCATTTACCAATTTTCTTTTTGTCTCTCCCTCTTTTCTCCCTCTTTTAAACTGGGGCTGTTAAGTTGGTGGTCAGAAGACAAAGAGAGTGAAAATAATTTTCATTTCAATAATTGCCTTCTGGTCAATTTAACTGTGCCTTATTTTGAAAGAGACTGTCTAAATGAGATTCCTGTCCCAAATGTGTTCCCAGGCCTGATCCCAGCCTTTAATTATTCCCGAGTTTTTTTCTTCAGAATAAGACGCCGCACTGAGTAATCACAAAGAAGTCAGAGAGCATCCTTGAACCTTTTCAGAAGCAGCGCCACTGATATTCAAATAACCTGCGAGGGCCATTTGACGGCGCGGGGACCTAGGCATTTCCAATTCACTATTTGCATAGATCAGCCGTCTTTGAAAAGGAAAGGAGCAGTTGTCTTCCATAACATTAAAAAGCCTAGTTATCAAATCAAGTGCTTAGTTTGGGGGCTTTTAAAACGTTTACATTTTATCTCAGGTTGCCCTTTACCGTTTGACATGCAAATTTGGTGCAGTTAATTTAGACAATTAAAAAGATCTTCAAGGGAGCTTTGTCACAGAGAATATTTGGAGTTTTCCCCGCGGACCAGCTGAGATAAAGTTGGCCAGAACAAATGATGTCTAGGAGATTAATTAGATATTTGATAAGACATGAATCCCTAATAAGGGAATACAAGGCACAGGGGGCTGCTGTGTGCTCTAAGTCAAAATTAATAACATTTAACAAGATTTTCATTTAGGCATGAAATGTCTTTTCCGGGGTATTGACTCTAGCGATTTATTCCCTTGAGTTGCCTTCCAACATACAGGGCCTTGGGAGCTAAAGACTTCTTTTTTAAAAGCGTTTTCCTTTCACAGATTGTTTTTAAATCACTTTTTAAAAACAAACAAACCCACCAGAATTTTCTCTGATGCCTCCCAGAGGTTTAGGCACCTCCTCAGTTAAAGCTGCCAAGGACCTTTGCATTCTTTAGGCGCTCCAGAGTTTTAAAATGTCACCTTTTGAGAGCCTTCACATTAAGCAATGCAACTACACGTCCTTATAACCCAATTTAATTTATGCTGTTGATATACAAATAAATAATTTTGACTTCTCAAAAACTTATATGTAGTATGGCTTTTATAACCCACATAAACTTTACATTACCTACAACTAACATTAAGGGAATTTTTTCCCAAGCGAAAAAAAAAAATATCGACCCACGAAAAGGTTACTGAGGGGGAAACAGGATTTTTAAAAAAGGAAATGTATTGTTCAGAGTCCTTTAATAATACCAAAATGAAAATATGATGTCAAGATTTTCTTCATACAGATAAACGCATTTAATTTCTTTAGATGACCTTAACTTACGTGTTTGTGAGTGAAATGATAACTCAACATTTTAAATATCTTTTACATATATACTGACTTTCACAAAGTGCATCAGAAAATTAAAAAAACTCCCTGAATTTCAGGGATTCACCCAAAAAAACTCTATTCGAATGAACATTTACAAGAAAATAAAAGAGAACACAATATTTTGAACCCTATTTATACAGATGTTATGAAATACAGAGAAACTGTCGCTAGACTTCCAGTTTAATTTCTCACCTTAAGCCTTTCGATGCTTCCTTTTTTAGGAAAAGTCTCATTGTAAGTAGACATCAGGCAGGACTTGGAGCATTTTATATATAATATAATCCACACAAAGGGTGTTTTTATCGGTCCCGTTTGTTTTCAAATGTTCTGACAGTCCTTTGCTGGGTGGTGGCTTGTTTTTGAGAAAAGGAAAGAGACGGGTGTTGGAGGGAGGTGGACAGTGGGCAAAGAGGGAGCCTTTCTATGTATTGCTCTTCGCTCGAGAAGTTTGGGCGAGTGGTATGTGTGTGCGCGCGCGAGTGTGCGTGCTTGTGGTTGCAGGTCTCCGGTGTATGTGTACGTCTGGGAGTACGGTTTTTAAAGTGTTTGTGTCGGAGGATGGTTCGCTTTTGTTTCCGGACCACGCATTCGATTCTCATCCGGGCGCGGAAGGCGGAGGGGAGCTCCTCGCAGGGCGGGCGAACCGCAGCCCGGGAACCCTGAGCGGCTCCACCTCGC